TTTAAGAGATCGTCGTGAAGTGTGTTTGGAGAAATTAATGCATTTTAGATTGTTCGATAGGTGTTTTGAATAACCAAATTTTTCTCATAGTGCGGGTCAATAATTCAATAACGCGTTGGATTTAATAATTCCGCGTGTTGATTTTCAGCACGGCATTTGGGGACACGACACAGATCTAATGGGAGTGAGAGAAGCCTTATTGGGAGAATGTGCGACACGTGTTTCGGAGACAACTGGCATTCACATCGATCCGGAAACCCAAGAGGAGGTTGAAATCATTACGGTCATTTCTGATGTAAATACGGGAAAAACTCACGACGGTGTCAAAGAAGGCGGGGAGAATCTCTTCCGGTGAGTGTCGGACTCGACGATTATACGTGGGTGAAAAATTCCGATTTCGTGACGATTTTACCCAATGGAGAGGTTTTTGGCTCAGGTTAATAGAAGATACGTGTGAGCCGGGCAGTTTAATATCCCTTATCGGTCACTCTCTTGGGGGCCTCTACTGTCGAGCGGCATTGAAGCTCTTAGCTGCACAACAATCACGATGTAAGTCTGGAAAATTTCGCGCGCCACGAAATTCATCCGGGTGTGATGTGGTTTGAAGAAATTAATTCTTGCGAGTATCAGGGATCGAACCGGGGACCTTTCGCTTCAGATCCATACACTGACCCCAGTAGGACTGTTGGCACTTTGGGATTGGTCCCAGTCAACTACATATCATTTGCGACGCCGCATCTGGGACTACGAGAAATGCCAGCGTAGGTTGGATCGAAGTTTTTCTTCTTGGAACTGATGGATTTTAGAGTTGTACAATTTGGTGCTCTCGTGGTGAGCGGCAAGACAGGCTCGGACTTGCTACTGAGATCTGACACTCTCGGGGAGTGGTTGATTGACGAGGTAAGCTACTGATTCTTGGGATGTTTTAGCACGGGTTACTTCGTTCACGGTTGAATCTCTTCGTTGTTGATTCCTAGTTCAAGAGAAGAATTGGTATACCCTTGAGTGGTTAATTGATATTCGTAATATATTCATCTTCTCTAGTGTTTGATAATATATAAGAATTTCAACCGTTTTACGTGAAGTGGCGTAAAACTCGGTGAAAACGCGATATTCGCGGTGATATGCAGTAATCGCGAAATATATTTTTCACTAGTGTTTTTTCACATCACGAGTGAAACTCCAACGAACGATTGTCTACAAAAATATATAAAAAATGCAAAAAAAATCTACATAGAAGAAATGGTCCAAAAAATCATCATAGTTTTTCAAAAAAAAAAGAAAAAAATTCAACTGGGTTTGTCAGAGACGCTCAACAGTTCTGATTGTTTATGTTCTATAATATTGGAGTTTCACCCATGATATGAAAAACAGTAGTGGAAAACATATCTCAGTGAGATAATCTCACGACCACTACATAGGGCAAATATCGCGTTTTTCATGGAGTATTACGCCACTTCACGTAAAACGGGTGAAACTCCGTTATTATTCTTGGGAATAATTTCACGATAGTTAAATTAATATTTTTAGTAATCATAAGAATTTTTCCGGGATTTTTTCAGGATGCCCTCCGAGGTTTGTCCCTATGCAAACGTCGAATCGTCTATGCAAATGTCGCCAACGATTTAATGGTCGGTCCGTGGACCTCGGCTATATCTGATGGCTTTCCTGAGGAGGTAGGATCACATTAGTACTGTGGTTAAAAGTGCACATATTGCGAAAATATGAAAATTCTGAGGAAATTTCTGTATACTTCCAACCTAGTTCGTATATGAACTCCTATGAGTAGTGAGAAAACTCCTGAGCTCAGTTGAGGAAAGCGATCATGTATTGCAACACTGCACTTGGTTCGCGAGATGTGGTATGATAATACTAAAAAATAATATTTCATGTATGTGTTTGAATGATATTTGGGTGATGATAGTATGTAAAACGTATTTTGGTAAATCTCGAAGAATTACCGAAAAACACAATTTCAGAAAATCCCAGCAATCGTTATTCTCAATCCTCTTCGTTTTTGGTATTTTTATGGAATTTTTTAATATATTATTATTATAATATTCGTCTTATATATACCGTTATTTTCATCGACATTTTTCCCTATACCGCACTGCAGTAGAGCTTCATCCATTTAACGTGAAGTGGTGTGATACTCGATGCAAATGAAAAGCTGTGTGTGTTTCCGCGACCGACAACACAATTGTATTCCACGAAACGAGTCGTGAAATAATATATTGTTTTCCACTAGTGTTTTTCATATCACGGGTGAAACTCCACTTAAGACATCGATCAGATGTTCATGCGGTGTCGAGCTCAGCCGACGGCTGAACTTTGGGAAACCGTTATTTTTAATCCTCTTTGTTTTCGGTATTTTCATGGATTTTTTTTCTTCGTAATTTACCTATTTTTTATTTATTTTAATGAATTTATTTTTTTTATTTTTAATTTCATTTATTTATTTTTCATTTTGATGGATTTCTATTTATTTTGATATCCGTGATAAAAAATCCGTTATTTTCATCGAGTTTTTTCTTTTTCTCTTACCGCACTCCACTGAACACGTCTATCAGATATCCATGCGGTGTCGTGCTCACCCTAAGCAGCCAGTAGAGGTTCAACAGGAAGTGAGCGATTTTACAAAGAAACGCTCAGGGAGGTTTTTCTCTCAGGTCCTCGACAAATTTCGTTGCTATAGGGCATCTGGTATACGAATGCGAGGAGATGCTTCGGATACTATGGTCAAACGAGGTGGGAGTTTTCTGGCGCTTACAGTGGAGTCTCACCACCCTAGTGATATGAAAAACACTAGTGAAAAATATATTTCACGAATATCGGGTTTTTCACAGAGTATTACGCCGCTTCACGCAAAATGGGTGGAAACTCTAGTGTGTGCCGGTTTGATACTATGCAGATGTGGAGAATGTGTGTTTTCTATTCCGGGATTAATGATAGTGAGCAACTTGTCGCTATCATAGTCTCGAAAGGTTACTTTTATCACATCACATGTTCATAGCAATGTTTACATTGTTTATGCGATATAGTTTCAGATCGATTCTTATTAATCTCGGAAGATAATACACATTTGCATCATATCAAATTTACACACATCGTAGAGTAAAAATATCGAAAAATCGGCATGTTTAGTTTATGCAACTTTTAGCAGTATAATTTTTTTTCTTTACAAAGCGATTTTTGCGGTGTATTGAGAGCTCCAAAAGTTTTATATTTTTTTCGTATCACGGGTGAAACTCCATCACTGTAGTCTATCGGAGTAATACTGATTGTAGGGAAAATTGGAATCTCACCCGTTTCGCGTGAAGTGGTGTAATACTCTGTGAAAAACTCGATATTCGTGGTGATATGCAGTGGTTTATGAAATATATTTTTCACTAGTGTTTTTCATATCACGGGTTAAACTCCATTATAGAAATGAATAAAACTGAGCCTGCCGAGTTGGTGCAGTGCTCATGTCGTTCAGGATCATCGTGCAGTAGTCGCAGTAGTGGTAGCACGTGTGAGAATAAACCTGTGAAAAGGGGGACTTCATCGGCGTCCTCAAGCATGAACTGGTCGGATGCTGGTGATGCTTCTATTGAGGAGTCCAGTGACTCGACAGAGGAAATCAGGGAGAAGAAAAAGCATAAAAAGTAACCCTGCTGGGATTCGATCCGGGGACCTTTCGATGTTAAAACAGGTGTATGAAGAACCTTACGTGTGAGCAACTGGCGAAGTTGCGGCAAATGATACGCGCCTTGGAGACTCTTGAGTGCACACCGTTTCCCTGTGACTGGAAATACTCTTTATCTTGCAGTGATAAACCTGATTCATCCGAGTCCCTCGGTGAGTGTGTATGCGTGCTAGCGGAGCGAAGTTTTTTTCGTCACTGCTCAGGTACTGTGCAAGAGTCTGTATCCAACTGGGAAAGATATCTTGTATACTATAGGAAACCAAGGGTGAGGCTCGAGCGTTGAATGATGTGATCGGCTAGAATGTGCCATTTTCAGATTGAGAATCCTGGAAACGGAGCCCACTTGAAAATCATTAATATTGATGTTGGGAAGTCTGGCGCTGGTGATAGCGTGCTGAAACATATGTCATCGAAAAGGTGAATTTTTCTTGAGATGAATTGAAATGAATTTGTTGTCATCAGAT